TTTGCTGAGAGCGGAAAAAAAAAAACAAGCCGTTAGCAGTGAGTTGTCAAAGACTTTCACTCCACTCACGAGTGTGCACCTGTGCCTTCCTTCCTGTTAACTCAGGATGCCTGGACCTCTTTCACTCCACTCACAGGTGTGCACCTGTGCCTTCCTTCCGGTTAACTCAGGATGTCTGGATCCACTCCTTGCAGGATCTCTGCTCACGGGACTTTATCCTGTTTCCCCAAACTACCCATGAACCTGTTTGAGTAAGTCTGTTTCACACTCTGTGTTTTGTTGTCATTCTCTACTAAGTCAATCCTTTTGTGTATAAACACATGGCATTCACATTTCAAAGAAAACATTTCCTCTGGACTCTGGATGATTCATGCCGCTTGACCTGGCCTTGTCTTAAAAGAATGCTTGCAATGAAAGAACCTCAACTGAACTTGAACTGTGGCAACGTAGCAAGGTGGAGGAATCCACCATGGGGGGAGGGTTAGGGAAGAGGTAGGGAGAACCCAGTGCCTGGAAAACGGTGTATCTGGCTGGTTCGTGTTACAGATTTCTTTGAGCCTCTCAAAAAAGTGAGGATCATACTTCCAATCATTCCCATTTTATTTCCAGTCTCACAAACCCAGCATGGCCAACACCAAATGCCTGGTCTGTCCGCAGTCTCCTCCATAGATGCCCGTGGAAACTTTTCAGTACTAAGCCATTCAGCCACACTAATTTTTTCTGTCATCTGCACAGCACTTGTTTGCCAGGAGCCAAATTTCTCTTCATAAGAGATTTTTTTTTTCCCTTCAAAAGAGACTTTTAAGAAATCTCTATACTGCTTTCCATAATGACTACACTAATGTATGTCCCATTAGCAGTGTGTAAGTGTCCCTCTTACTGCACATCTTCAACAGCAATTATGATTCTGTGTTGGATACCAGTCGTTCTGGCTGGGATGAAGTGATATCTTTGTACTATTGGCTTGCACTTCCCTGATGGTTAGTAATATTTTTTTTCCATGTATTTGTGTTTCATCGTTTGAGAACTTTCTATGAGATCCTCTCCCTGTTTTTTTCTAAGTTTAAGTCCCATGGCCTCCCAGGGTCCCAGGTTTCATGACTGCAATTGGATAGATCTAGGGAAGAGCATGAAGGAATGTTTCTGTCTTGCGTGGGGATCCTCCTTAGCATCCACACAGAAAGAGTGCCCGTCCCTCTCCTTCATCATGGGAGAAAAATAGGATTGCAACAGAGCACCCTGTTACCCTGTTTCTGTTTTTATGTTCAAAAGTTTGTGGTTGCGTGATTTGGTTAAGCAATTATTTCCCGAATGCTTATTTAATTACCTCCCAGAAGTGATGGACCTGATTAATTTTTAGTCAGGAAAAAAAATCGAAAGGGTATAAGGTCAACTGTTATTGCAGGGCACATCTAAGAATGAAAGTGCTCATCCTATAATATTTTTATGTGCCAATTCACTTCCTAGTATGAAGGGATTTGATAACATCATTCATACTTTTTCTATCATTAATTATTTTTTCTGTGTTAAGTTAAGTTACAGCTGTGGTTCTGGATACTTTTCCCTGCCTGTTAGTCATGTCTAGCTTTGACTTCTGTACTTTGGAAAGTTAATATCAGATGCACAAAGAAGACCATTGTATGTTCCTGATATGTTGGTCCTTTCATCGTTACGATTCTTCCTTCCTTGTATCTAATAAAATGTTTTAGAATTTTGTTTGAAGCTAAGTTTAACAGCACATTGTTGGTGTGTGCTGTTTGCCTGTATCATTCTCTATTCCTTGGCTCCCCGCTCATATTCCATCTATACCTATGTTAGATCATTTCATATGGTCACAAGGGTCATGGAAGCTTTGTTCTCTTCTCTCGTGGTTCCTCACTCTGTTCTTTGGACACCTGTTACTCTTTATTTATGGGTCCTTTCCCTCTACCATCTGCAATCTGCTTTGAGTCAATTGAGCGAATATTTTCACTTTGGCATTTTGTGCCTCAAACTTTTTTTCTGAATAACATTTTTATTTCTCTGCTACAATTCCCTCTCTCATTTCCTATGTCCCTTCATTTTGGAAATATTTTTACAATTATTCTTCTTCAATCTTTGTGAATTCCAACATTTGAGCCTTGGTGGAAGTTGATTTCCACTGACTGCTTCCCCTGCAGTCATTGAGTGTGAGTCCACGTTTCTGTTTCTCGGTGTGTCTTGTATTTTTTCTTCAAATGTGGACATGTTAAATAGTACCTCCTTGAGAATCTGCATCTTCTTTTCATGTAGGCAGTTTACATGTCAGACTCCAAAGTGTGAACATTAAAGCCGCCTACAATCATTGCTTTGTTTCCATTTTTCCAAATCTTCCTTGTTAAAATCAAACCTCTGTGGATTTCTCCTATGACAGAGTAATCTGGCCATTAGTCAAATTTGTAAGCAGATGTGGTACTCCGATAACTCCCTTGCTTAACTCTCATATTCCCAGACGCCTCTCTTCCTAGCAGATCTATATATATATATATGTGATAGTATGATATATATGATTATTTAGATTATTTTTTTCTACATCTGCAATCATCTGACCCAACTCTTCACTCTTCTCCTCATTCCCATGTCTCCCTTTCCTTTATCTCTGCTTCTCTCCTTCTCTGCATGAGCCCTTTAGCTTCCCAGAAATACATTTTTCTATTCATTTTTTAAAGATTCATTTATTTATTGGAAAGACAGATATACAGAGAAAAGGAGAGACAGAGAGAAAGATATTTCATCCATTGGTTCACTCCCCAAGTGCCAGCAAAAGCCAGAGCTGAGCCAATCTGAAACCAGGAGCCAGGAACTTCTTCTGGGTCTCCTATATGGTTGCAGGGTCCCAGGGCTTCGGGTTGTTCTCCACTGCTTTCCCAGGCCACATGCAGGGAGCTGGATGGGAAACAAACCAGAGCCCATATGGGATCCCAGTGCATGTGAAGTGAGGATTTAGCCAATGGGCGATCATGCCAAGCCCAGAAATTCATTTTTTCTGTTTCTGGGGACAATGTACCACATATACAAGGCCTTTTAAATCTCCAACATCATGTCTCCAGGACCATGCACCTGCCCTGAAAACAAGCTGTTCTTCCTCTGGAATCATCCCCACGCTTACAAAAACCTGGATGTTCAAGTTCTAGTCCACTTCAAAAATCCACAGGTGTCTTCAAGAAAAAATTCGTAAGTGGCAACTTAGAGCTTATAGCTGGTGGAATCTATATCCTGTGTAATCTTAGTCCCTGCAGTACTCATTGCTTCCACAGCTCTCTAAAGCCTTTGACATGTGCATTCCATATTTTATCTGGATCTTACATCATCAGCAGGCACAGTCAGATGCTGAGCTTAGTGTTCTTCCTTAAATACTTTAAAAGTTACATTTATGTGACTTCAAAATTAACTTCTCATGTAAGATGCTTGTATGAACATCAATCAGAAAGATTTATAACACCGCATGCTTATTCTAACAAATGATTGAGATTATGTAATAACTGTTTATAAAAAGATAACATGTCTTTCATTGTAATATAATCTTGGCAAGAAACCCAAAAGAACCAGACATTAACCAATTGGCTTAATGGACAGATGGGCTTGGTTCTGCTCATAGCAATGATTGAGTTTCATTAAATAAGTCAGTTGCTCATAGGCCACACTCTTCTTCCTCATTTTCTGTGTCAGTCAAATTTAAAATTTATGATGTTTCCCTTTCCATTTCAATATGCTTAACTTCTATCCTTCTTCATGTAATATTTTTTAAAGATTCATTTTTTATTTTTATTGCAAAATCAGATATACAGCAAGAGAGAGAGGAAGATCTTCTGTTCGATGATTCACTCCCCAAGTGACATGCAGGGAGCTGGATGGGAAAGGGAGCTGCCGGAATTAGAACTAGCATCCATATGGGATCCTGGTGTGTTCAAGGGGAGGACTTTAGCCACCAGGCTACTGCTCTGGGTCCCTTCATGGAATATTTTAAAAGACAAAACTGGTTACAAATTCTATTTTGACTCTTTTATTAGGAGGTTCATTCTCTCCCCTCAGTGTATACTTCAGTGGTATTTCAGACCTAGAGGGGGCATGCTCTGACAAGCCAGATCTTGGTAAGATTGTCACGTTGTCACCTATACAACAGTAGATAGGAGACAATGAGACTGTATGTTAGAACAATGAGTGGATTCAGAAGCATTTTTTTTTTCTGTGAGCTATAACAGAAGCACAGAGGCCTGTGAGCACGTGATAGTCTTGGGAGGAAGCTGGCTGTGGGTGTAGACAGATGGGATGGATCTTCCCCAGATGGAAGAATGGGGTCAAAATCTGGGACCTAGAGAGGAGGAGCTGCTGAGGATTAAGCAACAACATTCCCCAAAATCATAATCCTCTTCCTCCTCTTCAGACAGAGCTCAAGTATGCATTTTGCACCCCAAAATATGCATGTGAACACATGTATTCAAAAAACATAGTGTGACTTTAAGCAAAGTTGCTACATTTCTCGGGGATATTTGCTTTTACACACTGTATTCCAAAACTGAACTTAGGAACTGCTAAAGGTTGTTGTTAAGACTTTTCGTTCGCTCTTTAGAAAACTTGCTAGCCATGATCTAGAAAAGGAAGGACAGTGCTTCATTTTCCGTTGTGAGACTTCCACTTAGATCTGACTTCTTGCCAAAAGTTCATGGAGTGACATACTGTTGTATACCATGCGTGAATTTCAAGGTTTGTTATACAAAAGGAAACGTACCTTTTAAACCTACTTTTTACACAAATGTCTTTAAAGTCTCCTTATGGTATAATTCTGGACACTTGGTAACTTTCAAAAAAATGGTTCATCAGTCAATGCGATATATATTTTTATTGCTTTTAGGATTACATTCACATTGATAAGAGAGGCTGTTCCAAATGGTATTCATTCAATGGACACAGGGGAAAAGATGAGATTGGGGGTTGTTCTGACAGTTCTGTCTACTGGAGGAATTTAACTGTGCTGTTATTCCTCAGCCAGAATGATTTTCATAGAGCAAATAGCCAAAGAACACACTTTGAATCAATCCTTTCTCAGTCTCCGTAGCATCTAGCTTGGATTCCAGCCAGACCCTATCTCCCATGACCAGCTTTATGATGGCAGTTCCAGACACATGCTGGTTGTTGTCCTCAGCCCTGGCTTCCTTCTCAAGGATATCAACACCATTTTTCACCAGTGCTAACTTGACAGCCTGCTGATCCAAGTCAATATCAAAGCCAAAGTGGTACACGCCAGGGTGGGTGCAGGTGAATACTCCTGTGGTAAGGTTGAAGTGGTCCTCTTGGTTAAGTAGCACTTCTGTGAAGATGATGGGCTGGGAGGGGGCAGGGAAGAGACCCCTCTGCTTCACTGTGAAGGCAGGATTGGGTGAAGAACATTTCTCAATGTCCCCTGGAACTCCAACTAGGCCTGGTAGTCCTGGTAGTCCTGGTAGGCCTTGTAGTCCGGGTAGGCCTGGTGGTCCGCGTGGTCCTGGTGGTCCAGGTGGTCCTGGTGGTCCTACTATGGTTGGTCCTCCTAAACTCTCATGCAAAGAGAAGAAATAAGAATTTTGTTCACACTTGTTATAGTCCACGAGTTCCTTTACTACTTGTCCATGTTGACTGTCACTCGCCCTTCAAGCATCTTTTTAGGCCTGCCTCTCTTTTCTAAAGATGTCTGTCTCTCCCAAGTGCTATCTCAGAGGCAGAACCCAGTGCTTCCTGTACAGAATAGTGATTCTTCCTGTCTGTGTCTGAGACACACACTGATCTTTAACTTTATTATGAGCCAGTGCCTATTTAATTTTCTTTGTAAAGTAGCAGTGCTGAATTGGTACTCATTATCTGAAGCAATGCTTGCATAAATAATTGTTTAACTTGCTGCTTCAAATTCACTGCATCTGTAGGGATCCTATGCTTTTATTATCATAGACACCAGTTACAGGATTCTCCTGGGAAGCATTGAGAGTAATCCAAGAAATGTATCCTATCAGAGATGAGAGATTTTGAGAAATGTTGTCTCAACTGGACTATGTCAGATTCAGCTAAAAAATTTGTCGATAATATGGTGCCCTGACTAGTAATGCTGCGGCATTCTGAATTGGAGTTTGGGTGTAGGAGTCATAAACATAGAAATCAATGGGTTGAAAAAGTGTGCAGATAATTCTGATGCATAGACTGGCTTAGGAACTACAGATGAGGGATCATGTCAGTGAGCAGTTTCCAATGAGGCTCACTGGCCACGCAAGCTCTCAAACCCGAGGGCTGGTCTCCTCCCACTGTATTCGCTATCACCCCAGGATTGGTTCACAGGAAACCCACCAGTGCATCACTGATACTTATGTGTTAGCAAAACCATACGGTCCCAATTTCAAAAGTTCATAGACCTAAATGCCATCTTTTCATGTTGTAGGTCATACATTAGATAAGCCTCAAACAGTGGCTTCTTCAGAACATATTCCTGAGGTTGTTCTGCAGTAAAATCTCAGCATCTATTTTCAGAGACAAGCTGTTCTTGAGAATGAAAATTCAGGACTCTCCCCACTCCCACCCCCAGAAAATTCCACTCTTGGTTGTGACTATAGTGGCACCAGGGATCATGGATGTTTCAGCAAAGGAGAAGCAAGGCACCAACAATGCAGTCTGAAGGAAGTCATTTTCTCACCTCTTGGCCCAATGGGAGCATTACAGGATCTTGACATTTCTGGATCACCAACATCAGCCATGGTGGATAAGACAGACAAAACCCAAATCCACACATCTGTAGCAAAGGGTCAATAGACACAAATGGAAATAAACTCACAGATTCTGCAGCTCCTCTTGGAAAATTACATTCTTAGCACTTTTGTAAAGGGCAAATTCTCACAAAAGCAGCAAGTTAAGGTGGAGCTTGAGCATATCGATGCCCTCCCTCCACCTTCTTTCTTGATGAACTAGAACCCGAATCAAAGGTGACCTATAATTTATTTGTATTTGAAGTTGATATTGCTTACTGAAACTTGAGCTTCTTGTAGCCCCTGACGCTTTTCTCTCGGACACTCAAGCCTCCTGTCTCTTGAGGTGGAATTAAATGAGAGTTCTCCACGGCTCACATAAATGAATATGGAGAATTAACCCAAATAAGCCACTTAAAAATTCCATTACAACTGACCACTTCTAAAAATTGTCCTTGTATTTGCACTGTGAACTTGTTTTCATGCTTTTTTTAGGAAACAGAGGAGCAATCACTCCTTTTGGTGACTTCTCCCAAACTTTCTTCAAGGGCCTGAGGCATCTTCTCTTGTGCTTCACCTCCTTATCTGCTCCTCCTGTTCCATTTACTATCTGGGAGGGTGTTTGAATTAGAGCTGTGTCTGCTTCCTTGAAAGGGGTGACAAACCACCTTACAGGAAAGAGGAAACTACTGACCCATATTGTATTTTGCAGTAAATTTTATTGCTGTACTTATTTCTAGGTGAGTGGAAATAGAACCATAAAGTGAATTACCTACAATGGCAAATTACGTACAGTGAACAAATTCAGCAGTAGCACAGTCTCCAGTTCTCTTGATTCCAAAGCCATTCACTTTACTATGAAGTTGTGAAACACAAAATAGTCATTGGAAATGATGGGTGTTTGGGTTTTGCTTATTTCTTTATTTTAGTAAAGGCATATCACATTTCCAAATCTTGCACCAGGTTACGGAAAATGTAGTCTAAGCCAAAGTGACAAGCTGATAAATGCACAGTCTTCCATGGTGAAAAATATCAGCATTTAACAATTTTGTTAATTCTTAAAAACACTCTTTTCTGGACTTTGACATGGAGAAAGCAAGGGTTGCCTGAAAGGGTTGTGGTGAGGATCACTGACCATTGATGACAGACGAGTTGACCTGTAGAACCTATGTTATATCTTCAGACCACCGTAACCCAATCAATAAGCAGATCTAATACACTTCGATGACTCAAGGTAGCACACGCCAACCTTGGCATCCGTCGGTAATCCTGTGTCTCTGGACATCAAAGCAAGCTATCTTTTAATTCCACTTCTCCACACATTTGTAAGGAAAAATGCGTTTGCAGCCTAGATGGGAGAGTTGGCACCTCTCTTTGGGAGTGACCAGAACTTCCAAACACTAGGAGTTTGTCTCTAAGGGCTGAATCCACCTTTCACATCACGATGCAACTTCTCTAAGCATTAACATTCAACTGTTAACCTTTTTATTGGTTACAATGTCTTTTTGTTATGGCAGAGCTTTGCGGAGGTTGATTTTATGTATCATAAAACTCTGTCATGATAAGCAAATAGTTCAGTGACTTTTAAGTAATTTGAAACTTGTACAACCAGTGCCAACACAGTGCAATTTTTGAATATTTCTATCACCCCAGCCCCTTGTATCCATCCACCTTTTGTAAAGTTTCCAGATAAGAAAGTTGGTTGATTACGACTCATGATTTTTCTGGTGCTTCTTATAAAGCAGAAGAAACGTCATGAGAGGAAAGTCACATTCATCTTTTCACACGTTTCCCAAAACCACCCAGAGGGAAATCCCAACACTAGCTTGGATCCCTTGCTAGGAGCCTAGCCCAGGCTGTCACTGTGTTTCCCCAGGGCTTGCAGCTAGAGCAGTGCTGCGACTGCCTGGAAAGAAACAGCACTGTGTTTCCAACAAAAGTGACTAGATCACCTACCCTCCTCCTAACCTTCCTGGGCACAGCTACCTACATATCTACATAGGGGAAGACTGTGACCAAAAACGTTCATGATTCTGAACATGGCAACCCAAAGCATCTGTCCAAGTTATAAAGGGATCCCATATGGGCATAGGTTCATGTCCCAGCTGCTCCACTTCTCATCCAGCTCCCTGCTTGTGTCCTGAGAAAGAAGTAGAGGATGACCCTAAACCTTGGGACCCTGAACCTGCATTGGAGATCCAGAAGAAGCTCCTGGATCCTAGCTTTGGATTGACTCATCTGTGGCTGTATGACCACTTGGAGAGTGAACCAGCAGATATTTCTTTGTCTCTCTTTCTCTAAGTAAATCTGCCTTTCCAAAAAAAAAAAATAGATAAATCTTTTTTTTTAAAGTTGCAAGGTGGTTATGAAAAATGTGGAGATCCGCTGTCTTCATCTTGCTCATCTATTTTCCATGACAAATTGTCAATGCAGCAGAGATTGGTGTTGCATCCATCACTGTAGAGAAGCAACAGAAACCCAGGAAGGGGCAATGGCCACATTCCTCTCAAATCAACTAGTTCTCAAGGAACCAATCCCTTTGGAAAATCCCTCTCTGAAGTCTAAATTGATTTTTTAAAAAATAAATCATTCAACAGTATCAGGGATCCTGAGTCTAAAGGGAGATACGTAGACTCATGAACCACCCTGCTGAACTCTGAAAACACACACACACACACACACACACACACACACACACACACACACACACACAAAATACCATCAAAGTGCTGACACAAAATAAAACTCAATTAAGGTCCCACTAAAACCATAGCATTAACTTGGTGCAGCAATTTTATCATTGAATTCAGCATATGTTTTAGGATACTTAATACTGAATTTGTGGCAGATGTTTATGGAGGAAATTGATTATGTCCTTTTGAGTCACCTATGTGAAAACTCGGGGAAAAACTTTTGTTCTGTTCAAGACCTTCAAGTCCATCTACCTTTCAAGCAAAACGTTGAATGTATGGGCTTATCTGCATTTAACATATGAATGGTTTTGCCACTGGGACTCTCAGGTTTAAATATTTGGGTAAAATTTCAAATTGATCTACAGACCAAGCAACCAAGGCAAGAACATTTTAACCTGCCAATCTTCTGTAGGTGTTTGTGTTGTCTACATTTTCTTCATCCCTGATTTTTATCACTTCTCATTTCAGTTACAGCTGCACACAAGCGATTTTAAATACTCCAATAGGGAGTATTTAAATGTCACAAGGAAGAGTAAATCTGGGAATGAAACAGGCATAAATATTTTTTCCTTGGTCAAGGAGTGAGAATTTCAAACTGAAATTAGTATTGCAACAAATACCGTCACTGTTCAGTCTTAATTCCACATCTTAATGAGTTAACTAATGAAAGAAATCAGAAAATCTTTAGGAGATGCAAGAGGAGTGTACGAAAAATGCACAGGAGAGAAAAACGTGAAAGGAACTTCCAAAGAGGAAGAAACGACCCAGGGAGAACGCGAGCAATGTAAGATGGACAGAGACAAGGAGTCTCTGAGCTAGCTCTAAAACAGCCCTGGGTACAAGACAGGCCCAGGACTCTGCAGGCGGTGACATGTGTGCTTGCAGGGATCAACATTCCAGTATTTGGTGATAAACCACAGCATCCACTGGAGCACACACGCCCTACTTGAATGTATGGCACGTTTGCTTTGTCTGAGCTAAGTACACACTTTCAGCATAGGTTCTGGCCTCCATTCAATTTCCATTTCCCTCCTCTTCCTAACTCAATATCTCCTTAGGAAGGCGCACATGCCATCTATTGTTTTGTCCTGTGTCTAAGATAAAATGTAGCTCAGGATGGTGAGGAATAAGGACACCTACCTATGATGGCCATGGAGGGAAATCGCCTTCCTTGCCCAGGCATCCTGTAATGTAGATCTGAGTCTTTGCGATGGATCTGTCTTCCGTTGTGCAGTTTCTTTCTCTGCTGCTTGCTTTTGAAAGCTACAGGAAATTATACAACAAATCATTTTTTGTTAATGTTTAATCTGTTGTCAATAATCTTAGCTGGTTTTGGTCCAGACTAAACTAGTTGCACGAACTGAAATTCAAACAGAGGCTCTGTTTGTTATTTTTTCTTTTTCTTTATCTTTTTATTTTGCTCACTTCTTTTGCAATAATTGAGAAGGGTGCTTTTTTGTGACCTAAATTCATTCCTGCTATTGACATTTTACATATGCTTTATTGTTTATGGTTTAAGCATGTTATATTTGGAATCACTGAGTGGATAAACCATTAAAACAGTATTTCATCTCCTTCTAGTCTTTTATTATTATTTTTAATTTATGTAACATTAGAAGATTTCATATTTTTATAATACAGGTTTAGAGCATTTGTTCCTCCTTCTGTCTCTCCCTCCATCCTTTCCATTTTTACCCTTATTATTTTTTCCCAAATTATTACAACAGCACATTCAGTTACCTCACAGTAGCAAGCTTACATTTCCAATATTTAAAGGAAGCCATCTCATAACAAGTAGAGGAAGAAGAAAAAAGTAAGATAACGTCTATTAAAAATAAACTAAAATAAAAACAAATTATGCTATTTCTCATTGACACTTGGTGTGTACAGTTAATTCCCAATATGCTGATCTCATGTCTAGAGATTAGGGTGTGTGTGTGTATGGTTTACAGATTGGAGAAAACATATGTTTGTCTTTTGGGGACTGGCCCATTTCGCTGAGCCTAATGATTTCCGTCTAGGTCCATTCTGTTGCAAATGACAGGATCTTATTCTTTCTCATGGCTGAATAGTCTTCCATAAGGTGTATGTACCATATTTTATCACACTTGATCTTAGCCAAAAGGCCAAGAGGCAATCTCACCATCTTTTTTTCATTCAGTCATCAGTTAATGAGCATCTGTGTTGGTTCCATATCTCAGCTCCTATGTACCACGCTGTAGCAGGTAAGTCTCTCATATGCAGATTTCATTTCTCTTTATGTGTTTTTGTAAGATGTTTTATAAACTTATATCTTTAAATGTTAAAATAAATTATTTG